GTTCTCTTCACATCAGTGTTCTCGAACTCCTGGCTGTTCATTGGGCTTTGGATCACTTTCTTCCTCTTACCAGCCACCGGCTGGTTATGATCCATTTCAACATTTTTTTACCATAGTGGTTTATATCAATCAGATCCCTATGTTATTGCTATATGGATCTTCTTTATTGGGCCCACACACACATCACTTCATTTGATGGTATGTCATGTACCAGGTGCTTTCAATCTCATAGCCGATCGTCTTTCCCGACAGGATTGCATTTATCCCATGGAGTGGTCCCTGCATGCTACCATTTTTGGTGGCTCTGTTTGCATCTGGGTACACCCCATATCGATGCCTATGCCACCACCCTCAATCACAAATTACCTTGGTTTTGGTCCCTGGTCCCCCATCCCCGAGCCTTGGCTGTCGATTCCTTCAGTCAGGATTGGTCTCATCTGTTCCTTTATGTTTACCCTCCCACCTGTTTACTTCATGAAGTGGTCTCTCTCATCCATGGCACACCATGCACAGTCCTTCTGATTACTCCTTACTGGCCTGCTCAACCTTGGTTTTCTCAGTTGCTCCAACTACAGGTGGTTCCTCCCCTTCCTCTTCCCCTCCATCCCAACCTGCTCCATCAACCCCAGTCACCAGTGCTCCATCCCACGCCATCTGTCATCCTTCTTCACGCCTGGCTTTTGTCTGGTCCTTGGCGAGGAGTTCCAGTTTCTCTCACAGTGTAGCTTCACATTTGGCCTGTTCCATATGCCCTTTTTTTTTGGCTGTCTATCAACACAAATGGAGCTTTTATCTCTCCTGGGCATTGACTTGGGGTTTCCATTCTTCTCGCCCAACAGTTACCTGTATCTTCAAGTTTCTCATGTGGCTCTTTGAGAGGGGTTTTTTTTGGTCTCTTCTATTTTGGGGTTTTGGACAGCATTATCCCATACCATTTTTCCTGCTTTCACAAGGTCTACCTGCTTCCTGTCCTTTCCATGTTGATCCATTCCTTCTGACTCTGTCAGCCACCAAGGCATCCATCGCTCCTGGACTGGGACATTAACGTGGACCTTGCCATCACTTTACCTCTATGTGTTCCCTGTTTCACCTCTCTTTGAAGGCATATTTTTTTCTCCTTCTGGCCTTTTCGCCCCTCAATGTCACCAGGACCTTGTACCACTCCTCCTCTCTTATCCTTTATCTAGATCATGCTTTCCTTCTCAAGACCTCCACAGCTCAAGAAGGTCAGTTCTCCTTTTCTGCTATCTGCCTAGCTTCTATCTCTCACATCTACCCTTGTCCTGATCCGGATAAACTCCTCTGTCCTGTCAGTGCTTTCCATTGTTATATTGCTTACACAACTTCCTTCCGGGGTCCTTGTTCCTGCCTTTTTATCCCTTGCCAACCTTCCTCTTCCCATGATCATTCCCCCAGTTACTCTGACCAATTGGGTTCAATGTTTGATTCAGTTGGCGTATTCCTCCTTCCAAATCTCTTTCACGTTTTCTCACATTCAATCCATCACCTTACCTTCTCCCTTGCCTCTTGTCTTCATTGGCCATTGGAACATATTCTAAGATCTGGCAAGTGGACGACTCTACACACGTTCATCTCCCACTACCTACACCACATCACTGTTTCTGCTTCCTCAGAGTATTTCCTGCCACCTGTGGCTATTCTACAGACTTTGGCATGGCTGTGACATGAGGTAACTCCTCACTAATGCTTTCTTTTTTTCAGGGGCCCCTGCTTCAGCTTCACTTTGGATCCTGCTGTGTGGTAATTGGTGCCTGACCAGATATTCTGTCTGTACTCAGAATAGGTTCCACTTTGATGGCTATAACCATTCACAGACATCTTGCTATCAAATCCACATGGTAAGCCATGTTGATTCTTATACACTTTCCATGGCTATGTACACTCCTTCTTGAGATGGGGTGTTTCACATGATCACTTTAGTGTAAATTCCTTGTGATAGTTGTGTCATAATATGACTGTCCCGGATCATACCACTCATAGACGGCATAGGTAAAGCAGATGGATGAGTAACTATTTCCTGGAGTTAAGATGTTCAAATGCAGTTTACCCCTCTGATTGGATGCCCTCCTACCCTCACATGGATATTGGTACCCAACAAGTGAGATTTTGGAGATCAAGTGAACCAATCACATAAGTACTCACACAGGTTTTAGGTTGTTCATCTTCCCCTCTCGACTTGTCTTCTATGTTGTGGGTCACAGAAGATCTATGTGGCCTGTTCCTGCTTTTGTCCTGGGTTTTCCCTCTTTGGATGATGAGGTTGTTACCGACCTGGAGACATTTTGGGCTGGTTTCATGGTCATGGGGTATTAGTGCATGTGATGGACTTCCCTGGCTACTTTATGTAGGGTACATAAAGATGTCTAATGTAGTCCATTTAGTATTTATTACTTGATAGGTATCCTACATAAAGATGTCTAATGTAGTCCATTTAGTATTTATTACTTGATAGGTATGGTACCTATCAAGTAATAAATACTAAAATGATATTTAGGTATTTGCTACTTTAAAATGTCTACTTTCAGTTTCAGCAACACATTTTGTCAAAATACCCCTATATTAGTATTGAAAATCATAATTCTGAATTGAGAATTAAAATCTTCCCATAGCAACTGGCCTAGCAATGGAATTCATGGCTATTTGCAAGCTCTATGGTGGTAATTTTCTCAATTTTAGTGACACAAATTCAATGCATAATAAAGTGGCTGGTCGTAAAAGACAACAACCATGCTGAAATTGTTTGCTACCTTCACTCTGGTGAAGCTAACAAAGCTTCCAGTGAACAGTGTTCAACTCCATGTGATACTTCTATGATTACTATGTCCACTCCTTTGTCTTTTGCAAGTTGAATCCCTCACTGTAAGGTTTTATTTACTGCCAAAAACTTAAAAAGCTGGATGAATTTTCCTTTAATTCTACACTGAAGAAGTTTCAATGCCAAATAAAAAGAATGTCAGAAGAAAACAAAGGTTCCATGGGAACCAGCACATTGACAAGCCAATGCCTAAATGCAGCAGAACTGAACCACATATTACTACATGAGATCAGTCTTGAGAATGGAAAATTGTTAAAGCAATGGTGAAACCTTAAAGTAATGGTGAGTGACCTTCATTTTTAATCTCGTTTTTCTCCATTTCAGTTTTATTTCCCTACCTGATGAACAAAAGCAATTGTATTTTACTCAAATTTTCACACAAAACATCTTGGAAAATACTGCAGTGAATAAACCAAAACATGTGTTGTAAAAAGTTACACTCTAACTATAACAGGTCTGTAACTGGGGGATTAAATTGAAAATAAATACATTTTTTGTTTTTCTTTTCTTATGTGATAGTCTGACATTTCTAGTGTTAGGTTCATGCTTTTCCTCTCTTCTTAAGCTTTAAATTTATGTATAATTTAGTTGGGTAGTATTATTATTTTTCAAGATATTGTGTGTTTTTAAATAATCTGAATCTGAGCTCATTAATATGTGCATACTATTGAAATAATTTGTATAATTAATTGGAAATGAATTGTTTTGTGTTACTTTCAAGTTCATCATAGTTTGAGGTCCTTAGTTTATCCTAGTGTCCAAAACTAGTAATGCATACATCAATGGGTTATAAGCACATTGTTGAAATAAAAAATATCAAATAATAGTATACAAAATAAATCCTCAGTAATATAAGCCCTTTGAATAAAATATTTTAAAACAAAGATAGCATAACAACTGGATCTTTAGCATTGGACAAAACAGAAGAGTAACTCTCTACAAAATTGGCAATATAACAACATTAAATAAAAATAACTTTTAATATAAGAAGGAAACCTTGAACATAAATAATGAATAAAACTAAAGTAAAAGAAGGATGCATTATATATATATATAACATGTACAACCAATAAATTAATATATATATATATATATATATGTATATAAATACACACACACAAAATACACACCTACCTCAACAGCAGAAATTTAATCCATCTTAATGTACCTTAACTCTGATAGCAGATCCTCTAAAGCAACAGTGAATCACTGACTGGCTGCTGTGGTGTCCTTGATGATTTTTCTTGGGCCTTGGCAAAGACTTGCCAGTTTTCAGCAGATAGCAGATCCTCTAAAGCAACCGTGAATCACTGACTGGCTGCTGTGATGTCCTTGATGATTTTTCTTGGGCCTTGGCAAAGACTTGCCAGTTTTCAGCAAACTCTGTCTACAGCTAGTACACTTCTTCTTTTAACCAGAAAGGAGAATTGAGTATTCATTCCTGGTTCTGCATGGTTCTGGTTCATTTGGCAGCCATCATTTATCTGTGCCACTTTAGTAGCTGGATTTGCTGCACTGTCAAGACAGTGGCAATAGTGGTGGGTGGGGTCATGGGCAGTCAGTCATCAGTTGTCATTGGAGTCGTTGTTTGATTGATGTTGGCGTGGATGTCCTGCTCTTCATCTCGATAATGACCCACAGAGCTGTCGTCTCTCTCTGGTGCATTGTTGAGGTGGAAGCATTTTTGTTGACACTGAAAGCCCTCATCATCATTGTTGATGGTGCTAGCCAAGTGGTGGCAGACATCTTCAGTATCCCATTGAAAAATAAAGGAGGCTGTAACAGCAAATATATGACATCATTGACTCTCTCTGTATAGCCTTATGTGAAAATCATTATATCTGTCACTATTTTACACAAACATCGGAATTTATAGTGCTTATTTTTAACCATGAGTAGTACTGATCTATAGTTTTATATTAGGACATAATCTAGTTTTATGAGGTAACTATCAAGTTCGTAGTTTAGTATTAGGTAAACTCAAAATGAACTTTCATGTTTTAAGTACAACAGTCTCTATGTAATTTTATACAACTGTTCAGTTTGTAACTGAAAAACTAGTCTTTGATGTTATGGCATACTTTTTAAATAAACACTAGATTGTAGTGTTGAGCTGTAACCGCCACTATTATTTTATAATTTTATGTTATTGAAATTAAAACAGGTAGTGTGGCTGATGACCAAAACCTGGAACTTTGGAGTTCAGAATTACTTACAAGAAAATCTGGCCATGGCAAAAGAATGGTGTGGAATATCCTTTCAGCTTCTTCAAGCTCTCCCAACATTTAAAAATTCCTATGAAAACAAACTTCAACAACAGTACAAGAGGCTTTTTGAAACATAGCTTGCCAAACTATTATTTATGATGCTTCAGAATGTATAAGTGTTTTCAGTATTCAAGAAATAGTTGATTAGATTCATAATACAGTTATATATATACTTTGTGAACAAATTTAAATATTTTTAATATATTATCTTATTTGTAAAAATACAACTATTTAAAATGTTCTATAACTACCTGCAACAGGTTATTTTTAAGATTATATTTAACCATATGTAATATGAAGAACTTTAATGAGATGTATTAAATAAATGTTAGAATAATAACCTTCCAAGTTATGACTAATCACAATTAACCATAAGTTCTTCAGAAGCAATTACTTTCAACGACCACACAGTGACTTAGTGAAAACTTATCAAGATAAAATTTAAACACAATTTACTGCAAGAGCTACAGAATCAAGCCTAATCAGCCACTAGCAGTTATCCATAAACTTTCCAAAAATTAATATTTTGGTATCTTGGGATATACAAATAAATTTATTAAATTGTAAAAATATTTTGTTCCTGTTCTCAGGTATAAAATTTAGCATCTACTGGTGATGCATAAGCCTTTGTACCATGTTTATTGTTTTTATTTTGTTATCAGTACTAACCTGTGTTTTTGTTATTCTTTGAAATATGTTTCAACGAGCAGCTTTTCAAGCTAAGCTTCATATTTGGGTTATTGACATAATATATTGTTGCGTCAGCGAGTCACATGACTACAGTGATGCAACGTTTCTAGAATTATCATGTACTTTGGCGAATGCTCTAGTATTTACTAGTAGGGTAGGCTGGTATATATAAGAGGGGAAAACGTGACGCGGTAAGAGAGGTAATGTGTGTATAGACAGTGTGTAATTGATCTGCAGTAAGAAGTATTATTGACGTTCGTTGATATAGCGTTTGTTTTTAGCGCGATTGTTGAAGTTGAGTGTATCGGTAAAGTTATATTCGGAAAGAATAAACCAGTTTTTATTAAGAAAGAACTTGTGTCGGAAAATCGATTAACAAACGGAGACGTAAAAAATTGGTGTCAGAGAGTGGGATAGAAAAAAAAAGAGAAGAAAAATGGAAATGAGAGGCGGAAAATCAAACTACAGCTTAGCAGATTTGATGGCAGCAATACAAAAACAAGAAAAGAAACAAGAAGAACGAGAAGAGAAATTACAACAGTTGTTAGAGGAAAAAGAAAAAAAACAAGAGGAGAAGTTACAGCAGTTGTTGGAGGAGAAAGAAAATAAACAAGAAGAACGAGAAAAGAAGCAAGAAGAGAAATTACAACAGTTGTTAGAGGAAAAAGAAAAGAAACAAGAAGAACGAGAAATTAAACAAGAAGAGAAATTACGGCAGTTATTAGAGGAAAAAGAAAAGAAACAAGAAGAACGAGAAATTAAACAAGAAGAGAAATTACGGCAGTTATTAGAGGAAAAAGAAAAGAAACAAGAAGAACGAGAAATTAAACAAGAAGAGAAATTACGGC